ATATCAAAGTCATATACTCAAATAAAATAAGATTTATGAACATTTGTGGAGGGGGAGTCAAATTTTCATGGGGAGTCAGATTTTCATGTTACACCAGTCCCTTTGCTGGCTTTACCTCCACCTGGGTGCATGAGTATACACTGTGTATGGAAAATGCGGAAAAAGGTTTTTTNAATCTCATGGGTATAAAAATGAAGATTTTCATGATTTATTTTTCATTCTTTCACTCACTATTTTATCATCAAACTTTTTAATATTTCCAATATATTTTTCATAAAGTATCCTAATAGAAAAGATGTCAGAATGATCATCAAATATCAAATAAATAGCTTTTTCATAGGGGAGTTATTGGGTGATAAAATGCACATTTTAAATTTTTTATTTTTCATGTTTTTTTTTTTTTAGTTTTTTCACCCAATAGTTTACCATCAAACTTTAAAATATTTCCAATATAATCTTCATAAAGTAAATTTAAAGGAAAGATGTAGAAATGATCATCCAATATCAAATAAATAGCTTTTTCAAAGGGAAGACAATGGGCGGTTAAGTGCACATTTTTAATTTTCATATTTTTTTCATGAAAATATTCACCTGCAAACTTTAAAAAAAAGTGCCAAAGTATCCTCCATTTTACATACTACAATATTACAGTCATATACTCAAATAAAATAAGATTTATGAACATTTGTGGTGGGGGAGTCAAATTTTCATGGGGATTCAGATTTTCATTATGAAAATCTGACTGGGGGAGTCAGATTTTCATGTTACACCATTCCCTTGCTCCCTTTACCTCCACCTGGGTGCATGAGTATACACTGTGTATGGAAAATGCAGAAAAACATTTTTTTTCTCAAAATGGAAAGTTTCGCAAAGGTAGCGCAGTCTATCATGTATGTAATAATGATAGATTTAAACTGATATCTGCATATCAGGTGACCGATTACTCATAAATAATAATTTCTCCAGGTCTTGAATCTTTCACAGGCAGATTTCATTGACCATACTGATAGTCATAGCACACATGATATTGCTTGTGTAAAACATTTTATAGCAAAGCTATTTGAGGTAACATGGACTTATTTATCCCATGTGGAAGTAAAATTATCAAGCGACCGGGCCTCTTGACCGGGCCTAAGAGGCCCGGTTTCCAGGAAATGGGACTAACTTTTGGAAAAGTTAATTTCTACATATGTTGTAAATTATTTCAAAACTAATTATTTATCCACTGATGGGGTATAAGTTGCTTGAGGATTACAGAGGTCGACTCTTGTATTACCCCCGCCTTTAGCATCTTTTTCAGATGCCCCTCTTCCTCCTCGGCAAAACACGCAGGCGTCCTGCGCATTCGCTGTTTGACTGGCCGAGCGTCCCCCGTGTCAATACGGTGCTCGATCTCGGTAAAATTACCAAAGTCAAACTCAGGCCTTCCCAACTACCAGACTCGGCACCTACGGGTCCAGTATAAACCGGTTTATCAGACCACACTACCCGTTTTCAAGGTGTGTGTCAGATCGCATAAAAGAGTATCAGCCACCACACCGATTTTGCCTGGTACGCGATGTGATAGCAATGATCCTAATCGGGGTTGGAAAGTAGTGCATCTCATCTAGATTCATGCGCTGCTGCAATTTTCTCTGTTTATGCTAAAATCTGACAGTACCGCAATTTTTAACATAAAATTTAGGTTCGGACATAGCCAATGATGTTTTGTAAATAAGAACTTGCAAACTTATATATTAATTTAGAAAAGTAGACTTAATTTTGATAGGAGAAGCATATTCTGTCCGGTGTTAAATTATTTTCATGACTACCGGGATGGACGAGATTGAGGGCAGGGGTAATCCTAGAGAGGGGGGAGAAACGTCTATTGTTCTCGTCAGCGAGGCTGTCCTTTTTCAGGGTTTGTATGCACGGACAGAAAACTTAAGTATTGTGGGAACGTTACTAATGAAGCCACTGGTAGTACTAGTAGATATCAGCCTGTATATATAGCCTGTATATATTGATGACGAGTGAACAGTTGTCAAAAACAAAAGACCCAGGTGTGGTAGTTCAACTACTGTTCATGCGTGCCGCAACGACCAAACCTAATTGCTCCTGAAGGTCACAAAACAATAACCGGTACTGACGGCTAGGCTCGTCTTAATCATATAAGTAGCGCGTTTCCACCCCCTGATTGAGGGAGTCGTCTGTTGTATTCATACGACTCCTACTTGACGAAAACGAGGCGTGATACCCGGATGACAGGTAGGCTTACAGAATTTGTGATAGGGTATGATACTCTTTTATGCGATCTGACACACACCTTGAAAACGGGTAGTGTGGTCAGATATACCGGTTTATTCTGGACCCGTAGGTGCCGAGTCTGGTAGTTGGGAAGGCCTGAAACTCGTCTTTTGCAAAGACGTCTTGGAAGTCGACTAGAATTTGAGCCAACTGTTGGCACTGAGGCTCGCTTAAATGCGTACATGAGCTCTCATACAGCGACTAGAGGTGCTCTGGAATCACCAGGCACTCATCACAGTCACTGGAGACCTCCACTTGACAAACAGCGGCACTGACTTCGTTGCACTCCTCAGCGTCCTCAAGAACGCTTTCAACTGTGACCGCCCTCCCTATTTCACACCCCTTACGAAGGAGGCGAAACTTGTCCGAGGGGTTGATCACGCAGACAACGGGGTCGGAGAATTCACTACGGAGAACGCTCGGCACAANCGCATGCTCATCAATTAAACTCGAGGTGAAGAAAGCTAGCATATGGCCGTTGGAGGTGATCGAAGGAAAAAAGCTCTTCTGTTTTATTATCTTTCAAAACAGAGATGAAAAAGGAATGAATTGGCCCATACAGCAGCAATGAATTGGCTATCTACGGAGATAATGTCAGCTGACCCAAGATCAATGAGCATGCGTACTTAAATTTTCTTAGGTAGTTTCTGGGCCAATGGAGCCGAGATTTAATGACTGTACTCCCGCAAGGGTGGGAGGCGTGCGAGAGGCGGAGAGACTATTAAAAGATTAGGCGGTTTTCCTTTTATGTACGTCCGCCATTTTTAGATCTTGGCTTTGTTGAGCCTCGGCTCTTCTCGATGTGAATGCAGCCTATGCTTTTGCATTGCATATGCTTTTACATGAAAAAATATAAACGCCTATATTTTACAGGGGCGGATCCAGGATTACTTGAAGGGGGGGCGGTCTGTGGATGCGAAGCCGATCCTCCCCCCCCCTCCAACTTGGCGTGTTTTTGGTATTTTAGAGGGGAACGGTGCCATTTGGTACAGTTTAGAACTATATGATTCAGCTAGTCAAAATTCTAATTTCAAGAGAGGACTATAAAACGAAGGGGGGGGGGGATCCCCCTGACCCCCCTTCATTATTGAATAATTAGACCCCATTTCCATAGATTTTAGATCGATCTATCCCTGTGGGGAGTCTCACTAGATTACTGTCAGCTTAGTTGGCTTAAGCATCTGCCCCACCTACTGAAAGCTGTAAGGGAGTAATTAACTGTGGTGCGCGCTCGGCTGACTGCAATTTAGCGTGAACCCCCAGGGAGTTAGGCCGATCTAAATATTAATCTCTGGATCGATCTTAATCTCTGGGAATACACCCTTAGATGCAGGAAAAAAATCAGTTTCGGTATCTGGATGATATATAATAAAGGGTAATAAATGTAGTCCAATAATAACTAGTCATTAAGATTGTCCATATATATATATGTAAATACATATTTATATATGTTAAATATAGCTCATTTTAAGTGAAATCGCCACAAGGAAAATTCTACCATATCAAAGCTTCAAAAGACAAAAACACTGAAATCCTGTAAATAGCGCCAATTTAAATGTGCAAAGTGTGTGCATGGATTTTCAAACTTCGCTGGAATTTGGTCCACAATATTTCTCATCATTAAAAAAAATTATCACAATATATGCGGTCGTTTTTATTAACATGACCAAGGAAGTAGAATTTACTCTGGTAAGCTTTTGAAGAGGTTGGGTATTGCCACAGTAGAATAATGATGTATTGTGTTAGTGAAGATTGGGGGAGATTCTGTAATCACTGCATGTTTGATATGGATACGGGTGTAGATTTTAAAAAAAAATCGACTGACCCTGAATTGCATTAATCATTATACATTTTATGTATAGAAACCAAAAACAAGGAATTTTTAAAAAATAGTCAGATTAATCATACTGAATGATCGAGTACGTTTTTTGTAACCGACTAATCAATAGATTTTGTCTTTTTTTTTGTGTGTGAATGGTCTAGAGCTTATCAGGGGTAGGGTTTAGAACTTTGGTAGGGTTTAAAACTATATGATTCAGCTAGTCAAAATTCTAATTTCAAGAGGGGACCATTGGTGTGATTATTTTCAGAAATCAACCCTCTGACGCCCCTCCCCCCAAATCCGCCCCTGCTTATGTTTTAATTAAAATTTTCAGACCGACTTGTATTTTCATCACACAAAACATCGAAAAAAAAGAGAAAAAAGAAAGAAAGAAATACAAATCGGTAGTTTGATCTCAGGACCAAACAGTATACCCTATTGTATCCGAAAAATACCACAGAAATTCGATTAATATGACTGAAACACATATATATGCTGATCATAAAAACCACGACTAGCTGAAACCAAAGTAAAACAAAAATGTGCACGGTATCTCGATACATTAAACGTATAGGCTATATTTTATTTATCTTGTATAGTTTGAACTAGACTTAATTTCGAACAGGACAGCGACGTCGTGGGCAGATACTGGATGTGATACTGTTTGAATGAGCTAGAGCCAGGGCACCGGCATTTTCCGCGGTTCGCTTACAACATCAAAAGTAGATTAACTATGAAGTGTCAAAATCACAGCAAATCACGAAAACTTTACTTCAATGTCCCCTAAGACATATTTATCTGATTTTTTTGCAATGCTTAATAATTTCAAATGCAAAAATTGTAAAAGAATTTAATTTACTTAAGCGGTATTGATCAGTCGACCTCATTTTGATATTCAATATGGTGGGGGAGAGGAAGAGAAAAATTTAAGATAAGATAATCGTTTTGCTGTTTTTGCTCTTCTGGAGGATATGGAGACCGAAAGTAGCTCACCCGGGACACCAGAGCACGGTAAGAACAGGCTTAGAAACGCGTATGTTATAGTATAAACATAAAAACTTTTACGGATGGAATTTCGATGCATTGCCACGGATGACAACAGTGACTTGACAGAGACAGTGACACGACATACGTCCTTCGTTTAACTAAGGAAATATGTCAGTTTCTGACATACCCTACCCTGTTTCTTATCAGCCGGTAATTGATTTTCACCTGCCATTTAGATCAGTGATGAATTGAGAGAGAGAGAGAGAGAGCTCTGCGGAGAGGGGATGAGATAGAGACACCACTGGCACTTTCTGACAGAAGAGCCCAAGAGTATTTGTAAAACACTGCAGATCTATAGTGCCTTCATTGGCATTCTGATACCAGACAAGCCATTCAAATACATAGGCATCAATACAAGAAGAGAAAAAGCACAAAAGTTTATGTGATAGTATTCCCATTAGTATTCCCATTTCTGGGGTAGCGCTAACACTCGCCAATTTAGCCAAATGCTAAAACTGACTGAAATTGGCTAAAGAAAAAAGGCCCGATTTGACTTGCTTTAGTCAAATTATAACCATTTTGATAACAAGTTGACAAAAAAATGGTGATTTGGCTAAACGAAAAAAATTGCTAGCGCTATCCCAGCATTTATATGTTTCTCATTAGGGAGGTCAGGTCACACCACTTACACAGCAGAAATTGGAAAAAATCTAACCTTGCTGTGTTTTCCATCATAACTTCCAAGATTTGGGTCCTATGGTAAATATAAAAATATATTTAGAAAGTAAATTTAATGGGCTTTTTTACAATATCTGTAACAATGTATAATCTCTGCGTTGTAAACCTCCAGCCATGGAAATACCGCGAGAAATCGCCAGTGATTTCACTTCCTTGTTCCCACCATTTACGAATCTTGTTCAACCTGTGCGTTTCGCAGCATTTTTCTAAAAGCTTTGTACGGCGTCCCGGGTGCTATTTCCATGGATTTGACCACACATTCGTGTAGAGGATGAACCAACCTTTCGAGTGAGGGGTTACAGAAGGTAATATAACCGAATACAGCAGCCACAGCTAGCTTTTTAAGTTTTTAATCGCGTTTTAGAGTTTGAATAATGAAGTTTGCAAAGTTCTGTAACCCCTACCTAGATATTTTAACTAATTCTCTTTTTAAATTAGTTATTTATAATATTTGTCATTTTTTGCTAAGACGTAGCTGGAACAGCCTTTAGAAAATTTGTGATTTTGATCTTACCGCAGGCAAAATGGGGGACGCACCAAGCTGTTCTGCTGATAAAAAACTCATGTACTTTCAGCACCCAAAGAGGCTCGAGATACCAGAGTATCAAACTGGAAAATACTCGAATTGTTCACAAAACAAGGATATTATTAAAACGACTGCTATTTACAAATATAGAGTTAATTTTATGCCTGATAACAGTGAAGAGGTACTATACATGATTTAGCCATTTACAGGAAACTGAAATTGGTCCATGATTCTGCATTGTTATTGAGAGGTAAAAAAGAGAGACTTACTTAGATAAGGACTTTTTGCACCCAAGAAATAGAGCACAGTACATATCTGAAGAAATAAAGGATACTCCCAGGAAGAAAAAAATAAGGAAAGAGCTTCACACGGTCAAAAAACAAAATACAAGTTTGAAATGAAACTAAGAAGCAAGTGTAAATGAAATTGAAAGGCTTGATGATGAGAATGAAAAACTAGCTGATGACTATGAGACCACATTGTCATCAGCTAGTCATGTTCTATCGAAATTGTCTCAGGAGCATAATACAGAAAAAGATAAAAAAGCTGAGCTTCAAAAGCAAATGTCAATAATTCAAGCTGAATATGAAGAAACCAAAAAATCACTTGCAGAAGCCAGGACAGAACTAGATCAATCCAGTGTGAAGTACTTAAATTTAAAAGTAAACAGGAAAGTAGAAACTAATAAGAAGCAGAAAGCAAAAATTAGAAAACTTTCAAAAGATCTCTCTGACAAAGATAAAAAACATCAGAAGGATTTGAATGAGAAAGAAAAAGAAAAAGAGCAGGAGAAAACCATATCTGATGACAAGGATGCCGAAATAAAGCAGTTACTAAAAGAAAAAGCAAAATTACAGAAAAAAAAATACTATCGGAAGAAGACACTCAATAAAGAAGTAGAGTCTTTTGATAAATTAAAAGCTGGCATTGAACAAGAAAGAATAGAGGTTGAGTTAAAAGAAAAGGAACTTAAAATTAAACAAAAAGAACTTGATTACTTACAGATAGTATTAGAAAGTGAGGAAATCCAAACATTCCATGATGGAATTTTTAATGATAACATAAGACTCTGTATCATGGAGCTTCTCAGTATGAATGTTTCTGTCAATAAAGTGAATGAAGTTGTTTAGACTGTTGTAAAACGACTAACAAACAGAGAAATTCAGAGGTTGCCATCTAAGGGCTTGAGGTGTCAACTTCTCATTGAAGCTAGACATCTTGCTGACATACAGGTTGGCCAAGCAATGCTGCAGAACCTGGACTTGAACAATGTGCTTGAGAACACACTTCATGGAGATGGTACCACTAAGTATCACAGGCATTTCCAGAACTTTTAAATAACCTCAACTGATGGTACAACTCTCTCTGCAGGATTGACTGAAACTGTAAATCAGGATGCAAAATCAATCTTGCAGTGTTGGAAAGAGAGAGTTTCTGAAATTGCAATAGCTATTTCTGGGTGTAATGCAGGTACAGATACTGTAAATGAAAAAGGTAGATTTGTTGGTGGCCTCAATAAAGAACACAATGAGTGACCAATGTGCAACAAATGGTTTGTTCAATAAACTGCTGGCTGATCTCAGATCAGAAGTTATTCCTAAAGTTGTAGAAAATTGGGACATGCTTGGAGAAGAGGATCAGTCTAAATTGACAGATATGGGTAATTTCTTTTGTAAAGTACACCCTTTCCTTAGTTTTGCAGAAGAAGCAAATAAAACTCTTGCAATTTGAAAACTCAGTGCTAGATGGAAAAACTAAATTTGCTCTGCCAGTTGCTGGTGATTCTGGTGCATTCAGGCTTGTTCGAACTGCATGTGCAGCATTTCAAAAAAGAGGAAACCAACAAGCTGGAGTTTCAGAGGACTTTAAGTCCTACTTAAATGAACTTAGAGCAAGTTTGTTTCTTATCCAGCTTGAAGGCAACAGGTTCAATGTAGGATTTTATAATGGTGGTGCAGTTTATCACCATCAGAAACACATTAGTGATTTTATTCAAAATAAACATAAGCAAAATAGACTTTTATCGGCTGTTCTTGAAGATGCCCAGAACAAAATCTATCTTGCTGGTTTGCAGGCACTGGGCATTGTGTCTAAATTAATTAATGGCCCATACTTTCGTCTTGATGGAGACAATGAACATGTTCTTGACATAAATCCACATCTGCATCAGCTTCAGCTATCTCTGCAGCGATTTGCAAAAGACTCTAGTCAGTTAATGAATGGTGAAGGTGCATTGGGGGAGGATGTGGTGGCAGTTAAGAAGGATGAAATGTATGAAAACCTGCTGAAGAGAACTGATGATGAATTTGATGTACTAACCCACCAAAAAAGAAGAGCTGAATTTCTAGAACTTGGGATAGCTAGGCTAGCTTTGAGCAAACAAAAATAGTTAGAAGACAGGGAGAAAAAACAGCAGAAAAAATTTGCTATTGCCATGCAAACCCAAGTGTAAGATGGTCCATGGACTTCAAAGAAAATGATAGAGGAAAAGTTGAATGATTTAGATGAAAAAAACAAAATTGATGCATTATATTGCCAGCTTCAGTACCACCATGTTGTTTTGAATTCCTCAGCACCAGAAAACTACTATGTTAAAAAAAAACACATACTTTGAGGGGTAAAAAAAAAAAATAGAATTTAATTCTACAGAAATGACTGCCCATCTTTTGGAAATTGTTTCATTAAATCTTAAAAAATGCAAAGAAAAAAATTGATTTTGATACTGTGGTGGTAGGTTAGGAGATAGAACCAGTGTTCCAAATCGCTGATGTTTTAAGGCGAGAAGAAATTACCAGGAAACAAAAAGATAATTCAATGTCTAGACTAAAGGAGGCAAGGTTGAAAAGGAAGTCAACAAGAAGTAGTCCTGATGGAGAAACTTCTTAAAGAACTGAACTTTTAGTTAATAAAAGAATCCAACACAAGAGTCAAGAAACATCGAAGGACATCCCAGAATGGTATGATGTAACTGACATCAGGGTAGAAAAGCTATCCAAAAACATTGTTCAAACAAAGCATGAAATCACATATGATCTCGATGGGCCTAATGCTTTTTTCACCTTTGAACTCATAAATGAACTTAAAAAGGGAACCTTATAGTCCTGTGGTAAATGCAATAACTCTGGAATGGTGAAATGACAATCAAGCTAAAGTGAACAAGGGTAGGTTTTTTAAACAAAAGAGTTAAAAATTCCTGAAACTGACATTATGTGATGACAGTCTCTTTAAAAAAATTGAACTGGTTTCTATCTACCTAGTTGCTATGGTAACCAAAATCAGGTTATATTTTTGGAAAAATAATAACTTACCAAAATCAAATATTATTTCCATTGTACATTCTGGCATTTTACACTACTTAAATCTGTGATTGCCATTGTAATATTGGTTGCCATGGCAACAGTGCCTTTGTATTTATTTATTACTCAACTTATTTTCATATATTGAGTACCAAAAGAGTGTTTTCCATTTATATTCAGTTGAAAATTAATGTATGCAATCCTATATGCAATTGCTGTTGTAGCATTGGTTGCCAAGGCAACAGTGCCTATGTATTTTTCTATTATTCATCTTCATTTCATATATTGAGTGACCAAAAGATTGAGTGTCTTCCATTTCTTATTCACTTGAAAAATTCATGATAATGTGTAAAATATAATTCAAACTGTTACCATAGCAACAGCTATCATAATGTTGGTTTCCATAGCAACAGATACATTAGAAGCCATTGTTTTTGTTTTCATTGATGACACATTTTATTTACTAATTTTAGCATCTTTTTTCCCCCCAAAAGTAGCCTTTGGACAGTGATTTTGAAGCATCACAGTTGAAATATCGAAAAAAGTATTGATGTTTATTGACATTTAGCAATGGTTGCCATGGAAATCATGGATAAATTCCACAAAATTATATATTGGCAGATTCCTCTTGGCATAGTGTAACTGGCTTAAAATTTCAAATCAATATTTTACTCCATTCGAAAGTCATGCCAATTTTGTTTAATTGATTTGGCAATTGGGTGACACTTTTGGCTTCCATTGTTACATATGTTTGCATGCAAGACTTTCAAAATTTTGTGGCAAACTTGCATTCTTATAAATTTAATAACTTTTGATTGGTGTGCTCGATTTTCAAAAAATAAGATGTTTTGGAAAGCTCTTGAATTGCTCTATCAGATAACACCAATTTGACAGAAATCAATTTGACTTCCAAAAGTTATCTGACCTCCCTACTTCTGAATGCATAGAACAGGTCAAATCATGATACAAGATTTTTACCTGCAGAAATCAAACTACTGCATAGAATTGTATAGAAGTTGCTTGGCCCACGTGGTTGGACAAGAATTTGTTTTGGGGCAGACAATTTCTGACCTACTTTGTGCAACCAGAAGCCATGAAACCCAGAAAGCACAGTACATCAAAATCATGTTGCTTCATCAGATGAAACAGCATTGTAATCCCAAAGTCTTTATTGGGAAATTAGTTTAAACCATTAAATGAGACTATGTAGTTTTGCATTGGACTTGTATGCTGGTAATAATTCCAGTTTACTTACATTTTTGAAAAAATGTTTTTCACATTCTAATTGCTTTTAAAGATACTGTGGATGTGGGGGCTCTTCGTGCCAGGATATTACAGATGGAGCAAAGCCAAGAAGAACAGGCCAGAACACGGCAAGCACAGGAAGCAGAGTTTGGACGAAAAAGGGCCCAGTTTATGGACATGTTTAAGAAGAAAGAGGGTAAAGCAGTGTAATGTTTTTGTGCATGTATCAATCATTAATTTTAAAAATACTAATAGGAGCTTAAACTTCTGCTCTCTATCTTGTAATGTTTATTGTACAGGACTTTCAAAGATTTAAAATTGATTGCTTTGAATAAGGTTAACACATGTTATCTAACACAAACTGAGGCAGAGCCATAATANATGCAATACTGATAACGCATTTCAAGGAAAACCAATAGGCCTATTGTAACGCATTTCAAGGAAAACCAATAGGCCTATTGTCTAGAAAATCACAGGAGTGATCAGTGTTAGGAAAATACAGCTCAATTTGAACAGCTGCTTGTTTTGAACAGTTATGTTTGTAAAATATATATATTTTTTTTCATATTTTGAGAACTCTTGTTTATTGCATTTCATAGAGCTTGTGAAGCACAAGACTGGGGGTGGTGTTCATTTTTTGGGGGTGGGGTTTCCATGAGAATGCGCTTACTCCAGCTGGTGGTACAATATCCAGAGGCGGTATCGCCTCTCTGATCCTCTAGTTCAAACTGTTACCATAGCAACAGCTATCATAATGTTGGTTTCCATAGCAACAGATACATTAGAAGCCATTGTTTTTGTTTTCATTGATGACACATTTTATTTACTAATTTTAGCATCTTTTTTTCCCCCAAAAGTAGCCTTTGGACAGTGATTTTGAAGCATCACAGTTGAAATATCGAAAAAAGTATTGATGTTTATTGACATTTAGCAATGGTTGCCATGGAAATCATGGATAAATTCCACAAAATTATATATTGGCAGATTCCTCTTGGCATAGTGTAACTGGCTTAAAATTTCAAATCAATATTTTACTCCATTCGAAAGTCATGCCAATTTTGTTTAATTGATTTGGCAATTGGGTGACACTTTTGGCTTCCATTGTTACATATGTTTGCATGCAAGACTTTCAGAATTTTGTGGCAAACTTGCATTCTTGTGAATTTAATAACTTTTGATTGGTGTGCTCGATTTTCAAAAAATAAGAAGTTTTGGAAAGCTCTTGAATTGCTCTATCAGATAACACCAATTTGACAGAAATCAATTTGACTTCCAAAAGTTATCTGACCTCCCTACTTCTGAATGCATAGAACAGGTCAAATCATGATACAAGATTTTTACCTGCAGAAATCAAACAACTGCATAGAATTGTATAGAAGTTGCTTGGCCCACGTGGTTGGACAAGAATTTGTTTTGGGGCAGACAATTTCTGACCTACTTTGTGCAACCAGAAGCCATGAAACCCAGAAAGCACAGTACATCAAGATCATGTTGCTTCATCAGATGAAACAGCATTGTAATCCCAAAGTCTTTATTGGGAAATTAGTTTAAACCATTAAATGAGACTATGTAGTTTTGCATTGGACTTGTATGCTGGTAATAATTCCAGTTTACTTACATTTTTGAAAAAATGTTTTTCACATTCTAATTGCTTTTAAAGATACTGTGGATGTGGGGGCTCTTCGTGCCAGGATATTACAGATGGAGCAAAGCCAAGAAGAACAGGCCAGAACACGGCAAGCACAGGAAGCAGAGTTTGGACGAAAAAGGGCCCAGTTTATGGACATGTTTAAGAAGAAAGAGGGTAAAGCAGTGTAATGTTTTTGTGCATGTATCAATCATTAATTAAATACTAATAGGAGCTTAAACTTCTGCTCTCTATCTTGTGATGTTTATTGTACAGGACTTTCAAAGATTTAAAATTGATTGCTTTGAATAAGGTTAACACATGTTATCTAACACAAACTGAGGCAGAGCCATAATATATCTGCTTTGAATTGTCAATTTAGTTGTATGAAATCTTTTCTTAAGGGTATTGTAAGGGTTTTTCATCTAGATGTAGTGAAAATGAGTTTTTTCTTGCATCTATTTATTTAATTATGCAGCTACTTTGTGCTGACATAAAACAATAAAAACCCCTTTGAAAATATATACATTTACAGTATCTTTAACATTTATTTTTATAGGACTTTATCAAGTGGTCCTAAAGCATTGATTCTTAAATATATATTTTTTTATTTTGTCTATAGAAATAAATAATAAAAAATATGTGCTTAATATGAAAATAAAAATAACTCAAAAGCACGTAAAGTAAGTACTCCTTTCATACACACACATACATATTCACCTACGTGCACTCATACTCGATTTAACTTTAGTGGTATATGTCCTAAATCTTTTAACTGGACAAAAAACATTCTGCAAGAAACTATTGATTCTTAAAGCTTATGTGTATATAAAAATTTGGTGACAATAGAAGTACAGACAAGTCATGTAATGATGTTTCCATTTGAAACATTCCATGTGATAAACAGAAGAACTGAAGGAATTGCAACATGTCTTTGGTACCACCAAAAAAGAAAATGACAACTTGAAGGAAGAACTTCATCGCTTGAAAACCGAGCTTGAAGACTTCCATACTGCTACTGATCTGTTCAAGCAAGATGCAATGGAGGATATGCAGCTTAAACACCAGCAGGAGTTAGCATCCATGCAACAAATTATGGAGGGTAAGATTCCCAACCCTTTATCAGGATGTTAGACTTAAAATTTGCACCACATGCTCATTTGGCCAAAGATGGGTAAATTAATGAATAAAATCAAGAAAAGAGTTGGCTAGTGGCCCCATCACACTGTTTGCCGTAGCATAAATGCTTGAAAAATTTCCTGTTTGTGAATGCTTTTTTTTGCACCGTGTTTGCTCCCCACATCTATCTGTCCTCCAGTTCATAGATATCTAAGTAATGGGTTTGACACTTGCTTTCATGCTTCATTCAGTTGTACTGCTGAGAAATGTGTAAGGATTTAGAAAAGATTGGATGATAACATGATAAGCTGAAGCTGTCTATAAAGATTTCCTATATTTTCCCATTTTATGTCAGAAGCTACAGAGGGAGTGAGAGATTCTGTGAGAGCTCAGTATGAACAAGAAAGAGCAAGCCTCTTGAAGACCAGAGAAAGGTTGGAAGCAGAAGTGCAGGAACTGAAAAGCAAACTGACCCAAGAAAGGTTTGGTGTCCTGTACACTATCTTTACTTGAAAGTAAGGGTTTTCCCAGTGAACCATCTAGCTGTCATTTGAACACCCACCAGCATCACAGGACGGCCTATTTTTACAAAGGTGGCTGGATGGCTTATGGAATTTTTTTTAAAATATGATGGCTTTAGGCATACTTGGGCTCCCTGAAATTTTGTAAGAAATTACAGGTGGCAATTTTGGATGGCCTGCACCCCCAATCCTGGGAAAAGCCCTGCTTGGTAGAATTCCTTTGTCTTTTGCATAATCTCATTATAATTGAAAACATTTAAGTATAACTTTGTTAAATATACAGGGATGAGAATTTTCCAACTGTCAGTGGAAATAAGACTTTTTGGAGGCCAAAATATCATTAGCCTAGGCTGGATCTCTCACCATACTTTCTGATTTTTTCACTTAATGGCAGTCTCATCCCTGAATATATTAAAATATTATTTTCTAATCTAAACACAGTGCACCAACCAGCACCAAAGTAGCATTGGATACGTGTACTTAGTCTCTATTGCACTTTGAAAGTCTCCACATTATGAATGTGATATTATTGGAATGGATTGATTGATTTACATTTGATTTGTCTAATTCAGAGAAGGGTTTTTGTCGTCTGTAACAAAAACCTTGAAAAGAGTTGGTGTTGGAGCTCAGTCTGAAGCAGAAAACTTAGAAGAACATATGAAAAAGGTGAGTTAAATTAGTATGCAGTTTACTAAATATTAAGTTTTGTCAGGAAAATAAATATGAGAGAGAAAGGTTTTATTTTCTTAAACTTATGATTAATTATTAATCAAGAAAATGTCATTTATTTAAATTTTTCCATAAGACAGAAATGTTATTGTACAAGTGATGCATGTTTCAGAACTCCAGACATCATATTTTTGTATGCAGTGTGCAGTGCCTTATACCTGATTTTATTCTTGTTTGGAGTATGCCATCTAAAAAAAACTAATCTAGATTAATTTCTGTTTCCATCCCTTAACAGGGTTTTACTAGCTATATTTATCCTGAGCATGTAAGAGAACAATTCACACTGTGCTTACTAAATAAATAAGTGACACAAAAATTCTTTATACTAAATATGAAAATTGATTTTTTATGATTAAGCTGCTTTAAACTGATAATTAAACCTTATTAAATGGTATCTGACAATATTTAGTAGAGTATTGTTATTTAAAAATTGCAATTGATCAAAATCAGCTACATGTTATATGTAAAGTCATGAAAAATAATGAAATAATGTTGATTGGATATATATATATATATATGCACATGGTTTAAGTAGTAGCATTGCACTGTGTTTAAAAGTTATAATGGTTAATTTGTGTGCTTAGTGATGGGTTCAAATGGATTTCGGATTAAAAATATTCTTAGAAAAAAGTAGAGCACACTGTACTTTTACAGATTGTTTGCACAATTATTACTAGTTCAGAATTATTCACAGTAACTGACTCCCATTATGATTAAGCACGTTGACATGCTTTTGTTTAAGATGCTATTCTCAATTCCATGGAATATGTTGCAAGTCTAAATATTGAAAATTGGTTACTTTCTGGAGGTTTATGAATGTAACTTAGAAAAGTCAAGCTATAACGCTGTCATACAGCCAATACAAGCTTGCGCCTATTAAGCCTAGCTTTTTCACTGCAAGGCCCAAGAGGATGCTCAGATGTTGAAATCAGTGGTATTACCCTTGGAAGAAGAGATTGAGTCACTCAAGACTAAGCTACGAGAATATGAAGGCCAGGTAAGTTGGTTCAGGTGTTGTGCTCACTGTAGAAGTAATCTGGGCACATTGGAGCTATAGCTGTGCACTGTGGTGGTATTTGGTTACAGGGCATCCTGTTTTCAACTCCCTTTAGCTGCTGTCTTTTCATGCACCCCTATGTTGTAAACACCCTGAGCTTCAGAACACCTTTAGGTTTGGCAAACTTTTTTTTTACCCTGGGAAAAAGTTAGATAAAATGGAAATATATTAAAAAATGAAAATGTTCATGAGCTGAACTGAAACTTGGGGTTCTCCTTGTGATGCAGCAATGTGCGGAACTGGCTTCCCTTGGTGTGCTTTGTGTTATTTGTTAATTTGGATATTCTTTTCTTTTTCTTGCTTTCTTATCCTACTATGCACGGTGGCTTATCCGTCTGTGTGGTTGCTTTTCAGCGAGGCCTGTCCCCATCACTAGTGGAATTTGAACGTCGTGAGAAGTCACGATCCAGAAGTCAGTCACCAGCATTGGATCTGGATGAGAAGGTTTGTTATACCAGACATGAGACCACTCAAAGAAAAGTATTGTTGAGAAATCTCTTGAACCCATGTTTTGTATCAGAAGAATGGATAGTGAATACTGTTGAGAAATAGTGCTTTGCTGGAGTCACAACTGCTAACTTTCTAACTGTGGGGAAATTTTTGTAGGGTATGGTAAGAAGTGTATTAAAAAAAAACACCAATTTACTGTTATGCATATAACCATTGGATATTTTGTGCAATATGTAAACAAGGAACCATAACTTTGTTGTTGTTTAATCAAACAGTTTGCTGTTTTTTCGTCAAGGTGAAGGAACTTAATCATTCTCTGGAGGTTGAGAAGTCATCTCGCACTGACCTGGAGATGTACACAGCAGTCCTCAACACACAGAAGTCAGTCTTGCAAGATGACAATGATAAACTGAGGAAAGAGTTGCATGAAGGTATGGAAAATGCAGTTACTATTTAAATACATAATTGGATAGTGGCTTTAATATGTATGTCAAGTCACTTTATGACATTGCAAACCAAGCGTTTGCATCATGTAAACAAGGTTTCAGTCAGTCGGCGATAATATTCCATCTTTAATAATACAGTAAATATTGGTTCTGTAGCCTGCATCAGTTTGCAATAGTTTTTGTGCATTGTGAAGCCTTGCCCCCATTCAGACCCAAGAATAGTAAGAACTGGATCATTTTCTTCCTTTTCACAAAATTGGTTTACTTTTTGATTTACTTCCTTAAAGTACTGGACCTCTTTCTGAAGTGATGATCCTTCTTTTACAATTAAGCTGTTTAGTTTTTTTAAGAAATGTTCATAGAGGAGATATTCTGAATCAGCAAGTTCTTGATATTTCTTTATCACTGAAGAGTTGATATTTTTAACTATGTTTGAAAGATAGTTCATTGACGAGCTAACTGTAAGTTTCATGTTGATGATGTCTTGCAATTCCCAACACAGATAACGTTTCAGTAGAACTAAACTCTCATCCAGTCTTTCTGATATGAGCACGAGATTAAACTCCCTGTCCAGTAGGCGGACGAATTCCTGTTTCTGTACTGATGATACTTTTCTACCAGTCAATCCAAGATATCTTGACATCCTATTGATAATTGCCTTGGAGCCTGTGTGAGTATAATGCCATGGTGAACTGAAGAACTGTTCTAGTTCATTAGGACCCTGAATATGTAATATAGCACTCATACTGTTATAATTGTAATCTGACTTAAAACGAGCAAAAGGCTCTCGCAGACATGTTATATACATTGTATCATTTGGGAGGAGATCTTTCAGCATTGTCCTGTTATAAGAACCATGATGAGCCATTAAGTCGTAGGTTTCTGATTTATCAATTGGATTGCGGTATATATGCCTCTTAGCTGCACCACTTTCGTTGAAATATCCCAGGTAAATGTTGTCATCTGCAGGTAGAGCAATGTTCAGCTTGTTCCTCAGACTGTAGCGAAAGAAGATATTTGAAATTGTCGTTGAGGCGGTTTTAGGAATTTTGATGAATGCAATGTGTGATTTTGGCCGACATGTTCGTGGTTGGATATTGTGTCCTTTTGGAGCCAGTAGGTATTTGAAGGAAATTGCATCATTCATCATAAGACTGCTGTCATCTTCGGTGCTGGCAGTCTCTGGCACTGTCCTGAAGTACAGAGATGTTTTATCAGTAAGCAGCAAGGAAGGATAACTGTAAAGCAGACTGAATAGAACACATTACATTCATTTTGTGGCTTCTTATTTTACTTGGGTTTCATAATAAGGACTGGAACACAGTAAAAGTTCAGTATTGTTTTATATACTAAAAGATTTGTTGAAAGATTATACTTACAGGCTAACATCTTTTTGTGCCAGTGCTTTTTTCCTTAAATCCACATCTTTTTGAAAGGAGGAAACATATTCTTTACACTGTCTGTCTTGTATTAATAGTATGTATGTAGCTGCAGTGAATAAACTCACTGACATACTTAGAGCACCTGCCTTCCATGACAGTCTGGGCATTATCAAAAGTGCTACTAAGTCAAGGCCACTCACATAAAAGGAAATAGCATTGAATGCAGATTTGTAGATTTAAATGCAAACCTTAAATACACTGGTTGGCAATTGGACAAATCATCATATTGCAGATATACTTTTTGAAGTTATGAATGCTTTTTTCTGTCTAAGCTTAAAATAGATTAGCCCATAAAAGCAAGTGATGCCCTTTGTTTTAAAAATAATTTACTAAATGTGAATATTTTTCTTTTCACTTTGTCCCTTCAAAACCCCTGTCCTATGTGAAATGTGGCATAAAGCTATATTGATACCAGTAAAGTCCTGTCTGCATGGAGACATTTATTTTAGATAAAAACAGCAATTAAAGCATTTATGTGCCATTAATGCCCCAGTTAAGAATGAAACAGCATCTTACTGATAATTATCCCATTACAAAGAGAAACTCAGAATTTAAAATCTCTTTTTGTTTAACATTTGCATATATTTACAATAAAAAAGGTGTAAATTTTAAAATCAGTGTTGTGAATATAAAGTTTAAAAAATGATTAATCTTAAGTAAAAATAAGTATCTAATCACTTCTACCTGAAAACTAACTGTAGTTAAATAAATTTTTGTTTTAAAATAATATATATTCCAGTGAAACTTATTTTCTGCTTTCTTATCTTTATAAGTACACATAATAGCATTGTAGCATGCACTTTAGTTGAATAGTTTAGGGACTTTTTGTTTTAAAATTTCAGATTTTATGATTTAGAAAATAGCCATATTATCTAACAAGTAGCTGAATATTCTGTTTATCTTTGTTCACAGTGTGTCGTCTGCTAGAGAAAGAACAGAAGGAGCACAATGACCTCAAGCTGACCTGGCAGATGGCCAATGACCAGTTCCTGGAGTCCCAGAGGTTAATGATGATGGACATGAGGAGAATGGAAAGTGTGTTGTCTGCTGAGCAGCAGAGGCAAATTGCAGGTACACACATACTTCACTGTCTGCAAATTGAATTTATCTGACCATGGTTGTGGATATTAAAAGAAGTTGCAACATTGAATGTACATTTTAGAGAAGTTAAATGTCCCTTCTGGCCCCCACCCCCATGAACCAACTCCTCATATCCATTAGCCAAATTAGGTAATTTATATCTTTATGTTGATATTTCTTAGATTTTTTTTTTTTTGAACTTTCAGAGATGCAGAAGAAGGACCAGGACCGCGAAGCCCAGGAAAAGAAAGTTAGGGATTTGGAACAGCAGAGGAAGGAGCAGGAGCAGAGGATAGCAGGTGCTTGTTGCCTTAAAGTGTGGTTTGTAGTTAGATTAACTGCAAGGAACATAAGTTGAAAAAATACAACTCTGTGTGTGCTCTTTAGGTTCTTTAAAAAGGGATTCTTCTTTTGATGGAAAATGTATTCCAATAGATATTGTATTATGATTTTAGCATAAAGGTATATCACTTTATCAAGATATTTTGTATAATACCAAATTTTAGATGAAGAAAAACAGAGACAGGATCCAACAATGAGCCCACCAAAGGGTCTGTCCCCAGAAAGTGACCAAGACGGATCATTCACAGGATCCAAAACTTCTCTGAACTCTCTACAACAAGATGACTTGTTGAACTTTTTTGACACTGACAATAGGGGAGAGGGTGAAGGGGCTGAGATACCCAAATCCTTCTCCAGTTCTCACATAGCAAATTTTTCCAAGGAGATATCAGAAAATAGTGGGCTCCATGAAACCAAGTCATTGCAGGGTGTGGATGGGGCAGGATCTACCATAAGGCCCAGCCCTGACAGGATAATACATATTCCTGGCCTGACACAAGAGCAACAGAAAGCGTTAAAAGGTTAAGTTGTTTTTTATCTTTGTACATTTGAATCCATGTGCATCATGATTTACAGACACACAATGAAAAGATTTTATTTCATTTGCTTTCATTGCAACTTGGAATATAAAAAGGAGAAGTGCTGCTGTTGTGATATGAGAATATACTTAAATCCACCACTTAAAATTTCTAATAATATTTTCTACATTAAATTTTCATTAATGGAATGTTTTTATGATATTTTTTCTTTCAGATCCCACCCCTGAACATGAAGCTAGTAAAAGTTTAGTGGCCACAGTGAAGTCCCGGTCAGACACAATCAACCTAGCTGGCAAGAGGACTGTCAGTGAGAGGGAATGGTTGTGGCTGCAGGACGAGGTAAGTGGACTGCCAGGATTTATTTTGATTTGTTTTTAGATAACTCCATTACTTCATTTGTATAGTTTGGCTAGAGTAATCAAAACATAATGAGACCTTTGGATATTATTTTCTTGTTTTGGCGTTGCTTTAAGTCAGACATTTGATTATATATGTGTATGGCTATAAAACAAATAATGCCAGAACTAATCCAGAATGCAGTTTTTTGTTGAATGTTGTATTATGTCCATGCAAGGTACTTTTTCCTGTTAGCTTTATGATGCAGTGTCTTGATGAAGATCATTTAAATACCAGTAGAAATCCAAAGAGTTATAAATACAAATTTGCCCTTGCTCATTTAATGCAGTAAAATTTATGTATATTTATATTGAAGAAGATCAAAGAAGTATGTGTACTTTGTTCAGTAAATATCAACAAGCCGTAAAATAATCTGAAATATTGTTATTTTGTAGTTGAAAGCAGCCAGAGCAAAGTTGGGACGGCCCTGTGATATGTGCAATAACTATGAAGCTCAGCTGGTACAAGTGCAAAAGCAAGAACAAGAGGCTCAAGAAAAAATCAAATCCTTTGAGAGACAGTTAGATGTAGAGAAAAGAGCTTTAGAAGCTACCACAAAACTAAAAGAGGAACTGGAAGAAACACTAAAAACTGCAGCAGAGCAAACTCAACAACAGGTAAAAAGGGCAGCACAGAAACATTTCAGATTAGTTTGGAAAATGTGATGAATTTTATCCAGATAGAATATTTTTTGTGTATTCATTGTAAATAATTGTCCACTGTAATTATATTTTAATTAAGATTTTTATTAGTGCTTTTTTTTTTTTTTTTTTTTTTTGAG